GGTTTGGAGGCTACCGACCCTTGTCCGTTGGCATCCTGCCCCATGGCTCCTGGGATTAGGGTTAAAGGCTGTCCTGGATATAAGTATATAAATATATTTAATTTCTCTATTCTTCACGTAGTTCAAAATGCATGCATATGCATATGCAAGAAAACTGTCCTCTTAGTTGTAACCTATCTCTTTCTTGATTGGGTTGTGTTGTTAGAAAATATGAAATAGCAGAAGAATAAAAGAATTATTTTGAGATGTGATCTCACTTTTTTTAAGAATTTAAAATCTTTTAAAATGCAACAGAACTCAAAATTCTCTCAGAATTAGATGTAAAACTTTGATTTTGCATAAGAATTTATAATGCATGAAAAATCACTATTTATAAGGATGTATCCTCCTCAAAAGACACCATTTCATAAAGATATCTTTTGACTGTCAATAGTTACATATGAAAAGTCTTTCTACATTTTAATTTAATAAAATAAAATAAAAATTCAAAAATAATAAAAAATTAATGATGTTCTAACAGTCAAGGCCCAAGGTGCCCCAAGTGCTCAAGTGCCTATCTTTTAACTATATACAAAGGGGTAAGGCTCAATTTGACTTGAATTTCACTTTACTTAATTATTTGTTGATAAAGAATATACTTTTATAAACTCTTTTAAGTTCTCATCCTTTCTTAACGTGGGATCTTAAATATTTACAAACTATTCAACAGTTGTGTTTCTTGAGTTAGCAATTTGAAAAAAACTTACCCTAGATTTTCTTTGATTTAAGCTAGAAATTTTTGCCAGAACAAAAAAAAAAAAAAAAAATTCTGCTAGATATAGAGATTTTTTAAAGTTTTTTTACTTTTATTTTTATTTTTGTTAATTTGTGTTCCTGATGATTACTACTAGAATTAGGGCCTTTTTTGGTCAAGCAAATTGGCCGAAAAAGATAGTTTTTTGACCAAACTGAAAGTACTTCGGTCAATATCACTAACGAAATGTTGGATCGAATATCCACTGTATGAAATAGTATTTCAGAGAAAATTTCATCTTAACCGAAATAAATATTTAATTCGGCTAGTATCACTGACAAAAAAAGTAGTTAAATAAATCATTAACCAATTTTCTATTTTGACAAATAATTTAACCGAACTAATAAAACATTATTTTAATCATATATTTCAGTCATTATGACTGACCGAAATCACAAGGAATGAACAGTTAATGACCAAGATATTTCGGTCATTTTAAATGACCGAATTTAAGGTAAGGGATATTTTTGGTATTTTGAACAATATATTTTGGTCAAGGTGCGTGACCGAAGAAAGGAGAAAGTCAAGTGAAACTATCCATTCTATTTTGGTCAAGAATCTTGATCGAAAATGTTTGTCCAGATTAGAAAAAAAAAACTAAATTATTTAATGAATTGTAATATACATAATAAATATTATAATAAGATTTAGCATTAAAAAATTTGATATTAATATCATGAATTATATACAATTCTTTTTTATTTAATTTTTGGACCTTTTAATTATTATTGCAATTATTTATTAATAAATATGATTAAATTTCAAATCTGCAAAAATATGAAAATAAATCAAAAATACTTGGCATTTGCAAAAAAAATCCTGCAAAAATACAATATATAACCACAAATGAAATCATATAAATTAAAGCATGCAAAAAAAAAAAAGAAAAGAAATATATATGTATGAATAATGTAATAAAATTACCTCCATAATTGTGGCCCATTCTTCACCAAATTAGAGAACCTTTGCAAATGAAAAATTAAATCATTAGTATAAACACCAAAAACATATATATAAGATAATAGAAACTAAAGAAAAATTTACATAATCAAATAATTAAGGAAATTGAAAGTAAAAGAGAGATGAAAGCCAAGAAAGGAATTAGTAATATTTAGGAGAAAAAATTGTAAAAATGCAAATTTAATTTGAAGAAAAAGACTAAAGAAGAGGATTAATCAACAAGTAGTAGAAAAAGAAAGATGAACACATGAAGATATAATGAAAATTCAAAGAAAATTGTAGAAAATGAAGAGGAATAAACAGTAAAGAAATGTGTTAAAGATGTCAGAGAAGAAAGAAATGAAAGAGAAGTTAGAGAATTGATGAAAACAATATGCCATCTTGTATATATATAGCTACTAATATTTAGGACAGTCATACTGACTGAACTAAAAAAGGTGAAAATTTCAAACATTTTCCATAAAAAAAATTGAATGGCAGCGTGGAATTGCAACATTTATGAAATTATTTCGATCATACATTTTAACCAAAATATATTTAGAGGGAAATTCAAAATTTTCTAGCAAAGATAAAGGGTTTTTTTTATTTTCTTTGGGTAACTTATTTCGGTCAAGCCACTTGACCGAATTAAAGATGAATATTTTTTTTGAATTTCATAAAATCTAAAGTCAGATTTGCCATGCTTGTTTCGGTCAGCATGCATGCAGCTGAAATTGAAAGAAGCACAGAAAATCTGAAATCAGATTTCCCGTGCTTGTTTCGGTCAAGCACATTGACCGAAACATGTGAGGAATCTCATTTGCTGATTTCCCATGCTTCTTTCAATTTCAGAACCGTGACTTGGCATGTCAAATCAGTTCAGAATTTTATTTTGGTCAATTTTATTGACCGAACTAATAATATTTTATGTTATTTTTTAATATTTAAAGTTAAGATGATAGTAATTTTTTCTCATTTTTATTCGGTCGAGTGGCTTGACTGAATAAACTAGTACTTCGTAATTCGGTCAACCCACTTTCAATTTCAAAACCGTGACTTGGCTTGTCAAATTGGTTCAAAATTTTATTTCGGTCAATTTTATTGACCAAACTAATAATATTTTATGTCATTTTTTAATATTTAAAGTTAAGATGATAGTAGATTTTTTCCCATTTTTATTTGGTCAAGTGGCTTGACCGAATAAACTAGTACTTCATAATTTAGTCAACACACTTGCTTGATTTGTCTTGGCGTTAATTGGCGCCAAATTATTTCAGTCAAGTGGCTTGACCGAAGTAAAATTGGACTGAATTGTATGTCTTTTTTCATTTTTTGCGGGCAAATCTAATATTCGGTTATTTTATTTGTCCGAATTATTTGTTTTTTTGGTCAAAAAATTACTTGACTATTATTTCTTCAATTCTTATAAGTGAGGGGTTAAAAGTATCATAATATAAAATGAGAGGGTAAAACCTAAAATTTATTAAAGTAAAAAGCTAAAAGTAGATTTATGCCGTCCCTAGACACGTCTATTCTGATACTGGGGTAATCGCATGCAACAGGTGATGCAGCACATTATCACGTACATGGTTGTTTTGGCTGTGTTATGACATGAATCAATGAATATTAATCACCGTGCCGGCTATGACCGTTCATTGTCCCACCACCATACATGCCCTTATTAAGCCAATGCTAGCTTCTGCTTGACTTCATTATCTTCATTCCCAAACAATGAAACAAAGTTTCAATTTTTAGAAAAATGTTCCACATATAATAAATATCTCTAACACTTTCACCTTCGGTCTAAGTCTCTCCCCTGTTTGGTTACAAGTTTAGATATAATTCATGGCCCAAGCTTAATTAGGTCCCAAATATAGTATACTATGTAAACATTACCAATTTTTGGAAAATGTCCCACAAATAATAAATATTTATGACACTTGCACCACCACTTTAAGTCTCTCCTCCCTCGCCCCTCCTTAGATTGGTTTCAACTTTAGGAACGGACGCTAGCGTGTGATATAATAACCCAACCCTAACTTGGGTCTATCACCTCTTTAAATTCATCTCACCCCCCTATTGTGGTTGAAAGGTTAAGAGGGAATTCAAAAATGAAATGATTTCTTCTCTATTCTAAGATAAACCAATTCTTCTATTGATCATCTCAAAAATTTTTCCACGTTAAGGAAAAACAAAGGATATGACATTGGCCGGATGAATTAACCAAGTGAGGAGTTGGCACAACATATTATTCATCCGTTGATATTCAATGTAATAAGTTTAATGAATGGTTTGTTGACGGCCTAACATAGGTCCTAGAATTGGGAACTCCAAGGCCTCGAAAATTGGAGGCTGTTCTCTTTCGATAATTCTTATTTTACAATTTAATATAATTTAGATTATAAAGTAATTTTTTATTTGATAAAATATTAAATAAATAAAAATATATTAAATCTAAATTAATTTTGATTAACTCAATTCAAACTTTAATTTTGAGACACAGTTATGATCACCAGCAATAATATTATGGCCACCAAAATAGTAAAATATTGCCTTTAAAAATAATTCTGTTTAATTTGATTGATAAAAGGAGTTAATAATTATAATTATTAATTAATAACTGATAAAATAATTTAAATTTAAAAATAAATTCATAAACAAACATTTTCAAAGTGTTAAACAAAGGTTATACGTTAGATCAACGACAGCATGAAAACCCCACCACAGGTGTCCTGAGACAGTCATGAATTCTTTTGTGGGGGAATGTTTGGAAGATAATATGAGGGAGAAGGTGTTGGGCGGTGGACCGATGTTGAATGTTTATTCTTTCCCTGTTTCCGTTTCCGTATGAAATAAGGGATCCAGCGGTTGTGAAAGGGACCCCTTTTCTTTTGCCCTGCCCTTTCATTTCTTTTCAAATAAGGACTCCTTATTCTGTTTTCATCTCTTTTTCATTTTGGCACATTACAAATTCTTTTCTTCTTATCTTTTCTGTTGTCCTGGTCACACTATTTGACTCATTTTTGTCTCCAAATCATTGATTAATTTTTTTTGACATATCCGATGATGGATTATATAAGAGAGAATAGTTTTTTTCTATTTTCCAATGTCTCTCCACTAGATTTAAGATTCAAATTTGAAATCTCTAACTTGAACTTTCAAGTTTTTAACCGTTAATCACCACATTGGGATTAAATTATTGATTAATTAGTAGTAGTAATATGTGACTAGGAATATTAATTTTGTTTTTTTTTTTTTTAATTTGACAACTGGACCAACTTTATGATACAGATAGGAAAATTTGTGAGATTTTACTTTAATAATATCCTCAGGTATCTTTAATAGATTCTGCATGTTTTGTCTGTTGTAGCAATAGGTGTGTGGAGTTTTTTCCCTCTTTTTTTTTTTTTGATAAAGGCAATGATTAATAAGTTAGTATTGTTAGATGTTAACAACTGGGGATTTGATCCCCAAATCTAGTGAACAGCCCACCGATCTCAATGAGGCGCGCGGCTATCAGGCTGCTTCGTGGAGTTCGAGTTTTTTCCCTTTTAATTATATGTTATTTAATGTGACTCCATGAAAAGGTCTGCCCTCCCATTCTTTTGATACCGGTTTTTTGAGATATGGGGAGGCTGTGAACAGGGGTGGAGCCAAGAATTTTAGTCGGGTCGGATTTTCAAGTTTTAAAATAATACATTATAATTTTAAAATGTTACTTTTATATTATAAATTAAAATAATGCTCAACAAATTTTTATATCATAAAATCTATCTATAGTAGAGTTTATACTAAATGTCTAAACTATTTCTTTTTTAATATTAACAATCAAAGAGTTTGAAAACAATTCATCTTTTATTTTACTGTGAAGTCTTATTTTCACAAATTTCATGGTAGAAAATACTCTTTCTATTGTTATTATAGAAATTGGAAGAATAAGTACTAAAATAATTAACTTGTAAATAAGACTATAAACCTTTGATTTTCTTATCTCTACAAGCCATTGACATAATTCAAAAATATTTGTGATAATAAAAAATCAATAAATTTTATTACTTAAAAATTACTTCCTCCATACTAGAATAATAGATTTTTTGTTTTATTTTCAGATTAAGGATTTGGAAACAATTTCTATTTTTACTTATTTTATACTTAAAAAATAATTAAAAATAAATATCTATTTCAATCAAAATATAAATAATTAAAGTTAAAAGATAATCATAGGGTTAAAGTAGAAAAAAACTATTTGTCTTCCTTAAATTAAAAAAAAAACGACTATTATTTTGAGACAAAATTTAAATAAAAAACATCTATTATTTTGAAACAGAAAGAGTATACTAATTTTTGTTGTTAAAATATATCTACTAACAAGTATAAAATAAAATTTTAAAATAAAATTAAAAAAATATAAAATTTGAAAGTTAAAACCTAAAATTCATATAAAAAAAGATAGTATTGTTTTCACCTTATCTTTATAGTTGGTGGTCCCTTTCTTTCTTTGGTGGTCCCTCTGCTTTGCGCCTTCAAGCTTTCAAGTTTCAATGATAAAAGAGTAGTATAGTAGTGCTGCAACCTGCGGTGGCGCCGAACAAACAAGCAGACTCTCCTCTTTTTTTTTCTTTTTTTCTTTTTTTTGGAGTTGTTGGGTACTTTGAGGTTGAGGATTGGGATCTTTTTTTATTTTATGTGTTTTAATAATTAAAAATACAATATTTAAAATTTTAATAATAACAATAATTAATATTATATATATTAATTTTTTTTTCAAATCCCAGGGGGGGCCACCGCCCCCCCTGGTCTCCATGTGGCTCCGCCACTGGACACAGGGTAGTGAAGAATCTGAAAGCAGACATTTTTAATGATCAAATTCTCTGCTTTTGTTTGCCTAAGATCAAGGGGATAATCAGATATATGAATAAAGCTGAGGGGCTTCTGTTTTTCAATTTGATGTATTTAAGCAATGTGGACTTGAGTGGTGAAGCCGTAAAGGCGCAAGCTTTGACCCGCTATGTCCAACAGAGAAGTCTACTAAACTCGATTGTTTTTGGTTTCCCAGGGGTTGGTCCCTCTACTTTGTTATTTTGTTTGGTTTTTTCTTCCTACTAAGGAATTGTGCAATGTCATCCTTCTTCTTCAAGGTTTGGTTCATTTTCGTCCTTTTTCCCCAGAATAAATGTTCAATCTTATCCTCATGCAGTTATGCTTGCGCTGTTTGTGACAACCCACTAACTTTGACTGTTATTTCTAACCTGCCAATATTTTGAGGCATTATTTATTTATTTTTTTAAACCTTACTAGTCCCACAACCATTCCACCTCAGCACATCCTTTCCCTTTACTGTGAGTTTTTTGTTTTTTTATGACAATCAATGTATAGTGAGTTTATTAATTTTCCATCTCAAATTAATTATCTATTGACTTTTTACAGTCAATTTTCATGATTTTAATCTACTTCAAATCCACAATATAGCTGTTTAGTACAATTTTCAAAATTTTAAATTTTAAAATAGGATCCTTCTAAGTTTATACCATGAGTCCATGACTTCCTAATAACATTTTTTGACTCATTATCTAGTAGTTCATTCATCTTATAATATCTGTTTTATTTTGTTCATGCACATAAATAAAATATTATAATTATTGTTATGATATGATAAACTTATTTTTTTTCTAATTCTTTCCTTAATAATTGTTAAGAGAAATATAGTGGACTATTAATGTGAGCTTTAACTATGAGATTAAAATGGTAAAGAAAATAAAAAATGAAAGAATTAATTTGAAATTAATATTTAATTAAAATAAGACAAATATTGTAAAATGGATGGACTTAAGTCTGAAAGAGTACTCATCTGTCTAGAATAATAGTCTTTTTTTTTACTATTTTTTGAATTAAGAATTTGAGAGTAATTTATGTTTTTACCAATAATATAGTTAAGAAATAAATAAATAAAAGATGAAGAGAAGTTATTTATGATTAAATGATAATTAAAGTCAATAAATAATGGTAACATTAGTAAGAGAAAAATATTCTTCTATTAAAATATAAAAAAGAATAATTAATTTCGGATAAATTTTTATTTAAAAAAGTAATATTATTTGAGGATATAGGAAGTAGAAAAGAAAAGGAAAAAAATTATGCCTTAAGCTATCAACAGGTCAAAGATAACAGTCAAAATGGACAGTGTTAGTGGGTTGTCACTAACGGTGTTAGGATAAGGACGACATTGAACCAAATCTTGATGTGGAAGGATGATATTGAACCAAATCTTGAAGTAGAAGGATGACATTGAACAATTTCTTAGTACAAAGACAAGAACGAACAAAATTGCGAAGTGTAGGGACGTTCATTGGCTTTAACCCGTTTCACTGCCTACCGGCGAGAAAAGTGAAGTTTCCCTCCGATTAGTTGTAATGGAAGTAATCATTACACTGAAGAATAGACTTTAGGCAAAATTAGCTCTAATGGGAAAATTTAACCCAATTGAGCTGTTATGTGGAAGGTTATAATGTTAAAATATCAATTAAGAATTTGATGTGGCCTAAATTAAAAATACTTAGATTCATTAAGATCGAATTATATCAATTTGAAGTGACAAACTAAAATTAATTAATTTTTTTAAATTTAAAATATTAATTAATTATACTTTTAATTTTAAATTTTAAATATAAGATTAAATATTATAAAAT